AGCATGCAAGCCAGTGAGTGATTAGTCCACCAGGTGGAAGAAAACCTGAGTGGTAGGGTTTTTGGTAGGCGCACCAACCGCCGCTCACTATTGCAGTATGAGATATGAGTGTGAGCATGCTGTCAGGACCCGAAAAATGATGAGTTATGCCTGAGCGCAGGTCAGCAGGCGTTAACAAGAGGCCGCCACGAAGAAGGCTAGGCGTTCCAGGTTGGCCCACGGTCGTCTGGGAGGAACCATTTTGAGTGCCTTATTTTAAAAGGGTTTCATTTAAATATTTGCTTCTACGACCGCAAACCGCATCAGACCCAGCCCACCAAGGCCCATGTTGTGTTGTGCAGCAGGTCGCGCCGTGACTGGCTGCTTGTATGTAGACTGACTATTGAAAGCCCGAAAAAAGGGAGACACTTTACTGAGAACAAAGCGAATAGGGGAGACTACGGCTAGGCTCCCATCGATACTGACGGAAGGGTCATTCATTGGATTCTGGTATAAAGGGCGAAAAAGTCAATCGAAACGATTTACTCAGTAGCTGGTTCCCTCCGTCCCTTTTCCTCTAGTTAGCTACGAGACAAGGATAACAGATCGGTCCACTATGGAGCCGTTCACCACCAAGTGTTGTCGATAACAACGCTGGTCGAAAAGGTGGGGAAGTGAACATCAAACAGTCGAGGCCAGCAGACCCAGAGAAGGAAGGGGGGAGAGAAAGTGAATGCAGACAAGGAGCGGCGGCGGATACATTAGAAGAAAGGCGATGAGGAAGATGGTAAAGACAGAGGAATGAGTTTGTTTGCTCACTCATTCCTTGTTAGATTTAGGCAAGCGGAGAGTCGGCTTTGGGGTTTTTACCCCGGGCGAATCAGAATATAACGTTAGTTTTAACAATGAATCAGTAAATTATGAGTTAATAGGGAAATTTATGCGCAGAGACGACGAGATGGCGGGAGGAAATATGGCAAAAAAAAAAAAAATGATTTTTTGCTCGATTCGAAACGAAATCGAGCGAAATAAAGTGATAGGCGAGGTTCTTTTTGTACTGCGATTTTATTGGTAAGGTTAGTTCGACCAGTAGATTAGTAAATCGGGAGTTAGTACAGAGAAGCACCACGCGGAGTAAGCATGAAGATAGAGATGGCGATGAGGAAGAAAGTTTGGATAGATGGTTAAGTGATTCGGTCGTTTCTTGACTGATTTCGGTCTTTTAAGATGATTTTCGAGGGGTTTTATAGCGGACGAATCTAATGGAGCGGTCAAAAATTGTGGAGAGGTAGTGGATTTTGGGCTACGAGAGTTATGGGTTGCGTGAAAGTGATGAGAACTTGGAATTTGCAGGAATAAAAATTTAATAAATCATCCGATTCTTTATGGAATCAGTCGAAGTAAAGTTGGAAGTCGACTTTCCGAGGCGTTGGAGTACAGTCGCGGTGTTAGATTTGTTTGTAGGTGTGTGTAAGTGTAATGTATCTTCCCACGATTAGGGAAAGATCCATTCTCATATATTGCGAATGGAGTCTGATAGTTGTTGCGCAGCATAATTGAGATTAAGAGAAGTGAGGAGCGAAGAGGCTGTCGTGACCCCGGAGAAGAACGCAAAGGGGATTCGAAGCTTACCAAACTTACCTTTAGGGGGTCGGGGTCGACATCGCCATAGTCACGACAGTTGTATTCTTCAACTGTGCGGGTTGACACACGCCGAGCTTGCCATAATCCCCACCACCATGAAGGTTGTCTCCTCGATTACCAGCTGGAGTGTGTTTGTCTTCGTCGTAATTCCGGTCTAAATTTAAG